ATTTTCCTCTGACAAAAAAAAGTCTTGAGGAGGATTTTGATAGGTCTGGCCAAGGTCGGATACCAACACCTGAACCCATCACCTCCTTTGCTTGAGTTCCATCTGGGTACTGGAGCCAGGGAGGAAGCAGGAAGTCCTTATCTAGCAGTTTTCCAAAAGAAAGCTTGGTGTTTTGCAAGATGAAAGGGGATAGAACACTGGATAATGAAAGCAGCTAGATCTGCCTCTATATATGCCAGCTCTCACTCCTTGCCCCCTGCCCCAGGTCTTAAGACCACACAGTAAGCTGACCCAGAGGTTATTTTTCTCAATAGCAGCCTTGATATACATGACTAAGGAGCACACCAGCAAAAGAAAAATGGAAAGAGTCTGAATATGAGAAATGCTAGACTGACATTAAGATGTCAATTAAGACACCTATGAAAATATTCTTTAAAAGTTCCCATAAACTCACTCAAAGTTCAAAGTGGGAGCTGGAAATATCATGTCATGGAATTTGGACAAGAGTGAGTTTTCTCCAAATTATGACCTAAAGAGACCAAAGACTTAGAAACGTGTTTTTAAAGAAAAAAATCAGATGAAGTAACTGAGGCCTGGAAAAATTAAGCAACTTACTTAGAGTAACAAGTCTAATGAATGGCAGAATTGAGATTAGAGTACACTTTGTGTAATCTGGCTATGGTCTTTTAATTCCATGATGCAACCTATATCTGTAGGAAATGGAGCATTTATCATTTGTTATAATCTAAATATTTATGAAAATGAAGCAAAGGCATCATTATTTCAATTATTTTTGAAGAGAAAAATGCCCAAAGACATCTTAATTTTATGGGCATGTATACATAAAATATAAACGTGGAGGTATCTTCAAATATAGTATGAGCCTGCCTCTATTCCTTCCCTCTCTGCTCTTTTCAAAAATGCCCCTTTAAAAATTGCCCACTCACCATCTGTTAGGTAAATTTCCCGAAACACAGTAAATGTGGAGGCAGAGATTGTTATAGAGCCTATTCCAAATGGCACTGACACCTGTATTTATGAAATTTTAAAAACAGTAGGTTAGAGCCGTTTAAAAAGAATTCCTACTATAGTAATACCACATCATCCTAGGTACGCAGTTCTACCCAATTACATAAGATAGAGAGAAAGACATAAAAGAGGGAGCAAAAGAAAGAAGGAAGAAAAAAACTAGGTACGCATATGTAAAATGCCCCAAAAGTTTGAGATTATGTTCAGACTTCAATGAACAGGATGACATTTAGAAATTTACAAACGTATTTCATTTATGGTATAAGGTCCACAGGTTTAGATTTGCAATATGCTCCAACAAGAGTCGAGTTGGCCACTTTTTCCATCTAGTTCTTTTGAAGGAACAAAGCAACTGAAACAGATGCCATTCAATTTCAAGTCTACAGCTTAGACCATGTCACTGGCCATGAAATATTGTTCATTCAGAGTCAGGATGTAGCAAGAGTAATTTATACTCTCAGAGTGTTTGCTCTCAAGTCAATAACAGAGAAGCCTTGAATAAAAACATGCCTATTACTTTCCACTATAATATATCTTACTTATAGCCCATAAAACAGTGGTCAGGGGAGATTTATCCTTTGGACACCATATTATGTAAGCTCTCTACTTTAAGCCATCCCCACTCTGTGATTATTTTTTAAATATGTTACTCATAGTCAAAATTAATTTACATTTAATCTTTCTTAGCATTAGGAGAGTATTATTTTGTACAGGCTTAGAAACAAATCTCCAGAAATTCCTCCCTGATGCTTCTCTGAGGCTGAAAATGCATTGCAGGGTGGTTGCAGTGACTTAATTCTTGTTGGCAGAGCCCTGGCCACACTAATTTCATTAGCCTCAAATTCCTAGATTTGAAAGACCCAATGGACATCATTCCTGTCTTCTGACATGTCACTTACTAATCAATTCAGTGTGCATACAGAGAGGAAAGAGAGAGAGAGACAGAGAGAGAGGACTTGCTTAGCTCACAACTTTGGTCTGGTACACCAGCAGGCAAATGAAAATTCAAAGTCATAGACACTATTTACATCTGAGGAGTCATTCTTGCCCAGGTCCTAATTTTCAAGAAAAAACTTCATTCCAGTTTTTTTCTGGCAACATCATTAGTTACATTTATTACTATCTCATTACTCCTTTCTGTCTCCCACCCCCAGAGTGTAGCACTTAAGTCACTAGGTCATTAAGTATTCCTTCCTCCAGCCTAGAAGCTTATCTCATCATAATTTTTTATCTCAAATGATAGATTTGGCATGGTCCCCACAGCAACCCACTGGGCCCCGGAAAAAAACCTCAAATCTCTGGAGAGCTAAGAATTCAATCATTTAGAGGAGTTTCTTTTATGTAGGACAATCTTAATTGAGCTGAACCCTGCAGTCCCAGAGAAGATTCACCTACAGTTCTTTCCCTCTCTCTCTAAACTGATTGTGCTTTGGAACAATGGATCTGTGTACCACTATTCTCTCTATTCATTTTGCAGGCTTATAGATGCTGGGAAACTAGAGATTAGACTTGCATGCCCGAAGCTCCTACCATCACGTGCAAAAAAAAAAAAAAAAAAAAAAAAAAAGCTACTGGAAGAGACTGTTGGAATATATAGCTATGTATTCCAACAGGGGCAAAGGCAAAGCAGGATGTCTACACCGAGAGTTATATCCAGCTTGCAGCACAAGCCACAAGTTGGTGCATTCCTTCTGCTACCCAGTCTCTTCTCTGTAAATGCAGGTGAAAACTGGGGGCTCTTTTTCCCTCAGCTGTTCAATCCAACATGAATAGCTGCAATTTGCAAATTAGAGGAAAATGACAGTGTTTTCTCTGAATGGTTTTGGTCCCAACCCACACTGCTAACATTGGCATTCAGTTCCTTTCCTTTGCAGCCCAGGGAATGGGGGAATAAGGCAAGTTATTTCTTTTCCTCACAAGAGCCTCAGGTTCACACACCAGAGGAAGAATCAGCTTCCCCTGGAATCTTTCTCAGCAAACACAGTCCTTCAGCCTGATCTGCACTCCCTCTCCTGACTTTAACATTTCACTCTTCTTCAGATAATTGGGCCCATCTGCAGTACTAGTGGTGCTCTGAGTGAAGAGAGAAACAGGCACTGAAATAATTGAAAAATGTGAAACATCGAATATGCCTGCGGCTGCCAGGGCTCAGGGCTCAGAGGGCTGTGAGTCGCCCCAGAGGTTCTCAGGTGATCCCTGACCTCACTTTGTCCTGCAGCACTGCCCTCTTAAGTTGCCTGGCTTTAAGCTCAGACAGGAAGGAAGCGCTTCTGGGTTTTGCTTACAATAACCCAGCCTCCTCCCAAAAACATCATCTCAGAATGAAGCCTGCCCCCAAAGCATTTTTGGGTTTGCAGATACCTAGGGATTCCCACAATTGCATACTCCAGAAGTGTTAGGGATGCTCAGAAGATCAGAGGGCCATACCAGGCTGCAGCCTTAGGCAGACACCAGTCCTGGTGCACACACAAACTTCACACTCCTAGGAGCTGATGCGGTGGCAGCTTGAATCTCATGAGGAATCCCCTCCAGAAACCCAACACTCCTAGGTAAAGCGTTTGGAAGGGAGCCAATTCTTTAGATATGGGGAGCATAAAGACACCGGGGTTAGCCAGAACATCTGCAGAAGGGATTCACTGGGTTTGGGCACTAGGAGGCAGGGAGAGAGCTGTGCATTAGGAAAGTATCATCTCAAGACGGGGGGGGGGGGGAGGCAGAAGAGAAGGAGAAACTGAAAGAGAGGAGAGAAAAAGAGAAAAACAAAGGAGGGAGAAAAAGAAAAAAATATGAAACACACGGAAAGAAAGACGGAGAAACGAGAAGGGAGCCCACAATCACACGGACCCTGGAACTCAATTTCTTAAAATCCAAAATGCATCAGTTTATGCCCAGCGCGGCACAGGGGCCACCGGGCACACCGTGCGGGAGCAGGGGAGCGGGCACTGCAGTAAGACCCGCCGCTCGGCTGCCCGGATCCGCCTTCCTCCCGTTTTCGCGTCGCGCTCTGGCGCCCGGAGCAGGAGGGCCGCGGGCTCCGCTCAGCGCACCCCAGAGCCTCGCTCCAGGCGCCTCCTGCCTGGCTCCGGGAATCATTTTCGGAACCGAGGACAGGGGCTGAGGGGCTGTGGCAGGGAGGTCGTGGGAAGGATGGGCGGAGGGTGGAGGCAGCGAAAGCGATTTTGTTTCGCAGTTAGCATGAGCTCATCCCTGGGCTCTGAAGTGGCAGGAGGAGAAAGCTGATCGCCCAGCTCCCGCCTGTGGCCGGACTGCAAATGCAATTTAGACGGTGCAACCAACTGCCCGGAGCAAATCACCCGGGGGTCACGTCTGCGGGTGGCATCTCCCCACTTGGGGAGCTTCCCCGTGCCTTCCGCCCCAAGCCCTCGCGGAGACAGGCTACAGGTCGGGAGATCCAACCCGAGAGAGATGGGCCACTGACATCCACGCGTAGGTGAAGACCTAGCCCTCGGTTTAAGAAGTGCCTCCCTAAGCGCTTCTTGAAATTTTCCAAGGGAGCTGCGGCTTGCCAGGTGGCTTGGGGCTGGGAAGCCGGGGAGTTGAGAAATGCCCAGTTTCGAGGCGTCTTCTCATCTTTCATATTCCATGAGCCTAACCGGCTCTCACAGGAGCCCGGCACTTTGACAAGCCTGTTTCTGGACCATATTTCACTCTAATGCAAACCCATTTAAATCATCGCCTTGTTTTTCGCAGATTGCTTCTTGTAAATGGGGCCATAAATCCAGGATGTCAAGCCGGATGGAGTGGAGCGCGGACAGGGGAGAGATGGAAGGGAAATGAACCAAGCAGGGAAGGTACCTCCTCGCGTGGGGTGGGAGGGATTCGCAGGATCTCCAGGGTGAAATTGCGCGAAGGCTGACCTGACCCTGCACCCCTGGAGTCCAAGCTAGCTTTTAGGATTAGGAGCGCGGGGAGCTAAGGCGCGCTCTGCCCCGGAGGGAGCGCCTCCCTACCTGGAAGAGCCTCAGGATGTTGGCTACCATGATGGAGACCGAACTCCCTGAAGCCCCAATCACTCCAACTACTTTCTCCGGCTTGACGAAAACCGGAGGCTCGCCGTTGGTGCAGCGCACGTCGGAGGTGTCCTTCTGGATGAGCGCCTGGACGAAAGTGAGCGACTGTTCGAGCGCGTAAGTGTCCCTGGAACAAGTGTCCAGGATCCGCGCGCCCAGCGTCACGTTGGGCAGCAGGTTGGGATCGCTGTTGATCTGGTCCAGGGCGTAGAGCATCGCTTCCAGCCTGTGGATCCCGTTCTCCCTCTTGATGTCGCCGCAGGGCACGCCGCTAGGACCCTTGGCATGCACCGGGAACAGCCCCCCGAGGGTGACGTCCCCCTCGATACGGATAGAGTGCGGGGCGTACATCTCCTGGCCGCGCGCCGCCGCCGCCAGCGCGCACAGGAGCACCTCCAGCACGCAGCAGGGGAACTTCATCAAAGTCAGGACGCGGAGCAGCTTCCCCAGCTGGACCATGCTGCTCCGGCTGCGGCGGCGGGGGCGGCAGCGCTGGAGGGGATGGTGGCGGGCTCGCCGGGGTCCGGGCCCCTTGGGGTGAGGTCCTCCGGGGAAGCCCTGAGGCTCCTGCAGGCACGGAGGGGGGGGCACCCGGGGAGGGGCAGCCAGAGAAGATGGGGGGTCCCGCGGCGCCTGCCAGATTGGGGCTCCGTGCGCTCCCGGGTTCTCCGGCCCGCGCTCCGCGCTCGCGCTGCCCCGCTTGCCGCTCGCGCTCTCCAACAACCCAGCACTGGGGAGAGGGCAAGGATTGCTGTCGCTTTAAATGGTCGTTCGGCTCCCTCTCCTCCTCCTCCCACTTCCTCCCTCCCTCGCTAGCTCCTCGACACTCCCCACCCTTCCCAGCGCCCGCCCTCCCCACTGGTTTGCATCATCACGCAGGGAGGGGCTGCGTGCTGAGGTAAGGAGGGGGGAACGGGTGGGCGGCTAAGCAGGGAGTGCCTCTGACTGGGAGTTTCGCGGTCCCCAGGGAATCTAGGGATTGCGGGTCTCAGGCGAGGAATGAACTCCTTCTGTCTTAACGGCAGACGCGTCCAGCTCGCCCGCCTGCACCCGCGGGCACTTTCTAGGCACGGGAGGAGTCAACCCCAGGAGGGGGCGGGGATGTCTGGTGCTGACTGCTCCCAACCCTGAGGTCTCGAGCCCTGGCTGTCAGATCGCAGAGAATGCGAGGGAGTCGCTAGCTAGATAGAGAATGCAGTGATGGAGAGGTGGGAGACCCCGCTCTCTGCTACTATCGGTCTGGGCCGGTTTTCCTTAAGAGAGAGACACGTACACACAAGAGCCTGATTCATGACTTAAAGAATCTTTACCCAGAGACTTCTCGCAGGGGAGGGGGTGTGGGGGGGGGGAGGAGGAGGCACTGGACAAGCTCGTAGGAAAACATGCCAAGAAATGTTAGGGGTATAAGTGCACCCTGGTATTTAAGGGTTACTGGGGAACAGAGCAGGATGAACTGAGGTCTCCAGCAAATCTGTGGCGGAAACCTCTCGGACTCACCTCTTTCCAGTCTATCATCGGTAACAATCGAGAACTCTGCAGAGCGCACTTTCTTCTCTGGCGCTGACAGGTGTGAGGCTCCCTCCTACCCATTTATTTCCAAAGATGCTCCTGGGCTGGTGACAGGTTTTGCGGGCAGGAAACAGCCAGAAAGAGGTGAGGAAGAAAGACAGGCAGGTAGAAGTCTCCCCGATGATCCAGACGCCTTTCTCTCTTTTTCTGGCTAGAGATTTGGTAGCTAAATCAAGATACCAGGACAGGCTGCAGTGCAGTTAAAAAGCTCATTTTCAAAGGTGTGCCCTCCTGCAGGCTGAGACGAAACTTGGGCTGTTAAAGCAACAGGTGGCCCTAGTTCTTATACAAAGAATAATGTCTCTGTCCTTGGTACCAAAAGGGACTCCGGATGGTTAACTCCTCTCTTGCTAAGGTTTTCTGTTGGAGGCAGCAAAACTATATTATACAAATTTGAGACTGGAGAAAAATCAGAAACAAGGCTATACTTGGTGTTGTTGTTGTTGTAAGAAAAATGTCCTGGTACAAAAAACAAACAACACAGACACACACACACACACACACACACACACACACCACAGACACAAGACAAGTTCAGAACACTGGTAGTGGGTTGTCTCTGCCTCCAACTACCTATATTTCCTCAGCATTTCTATTTTCTTGCCTAGGTTTAAGTTTCGCCATCTGTGAAATAATGAGATTGAGCAGGATGCTCTCCGTGTTATCCCAAATCTTCTGTTAAAACAGGCCATATCCCTTTGGCCATGGGGCTCTTTTTAAGCCAACATCCTCTATTGCTTTATGTATAGGAGACCAGTTTTTTGATCTCCAAAGAACATAACAAACATTTCCTGCTATAGAGGACTTTTTATTTTTCCTTGATTACCATCTATTATTCCTCTCCCTTCTAGGGATAGTCCAGTCCATCAGTTTCTTTTTGGATAGCCCCTTCTTCCATGTTTCATACTTATGATTTAAGAATGGACCCCACTTCCCATAATTTAGGACTGGTGACTGGCTATCATGATGAGTTCAAGGATGAGAACAGAGCCCAACCAGAGCCATGCAGGGCTAATCCCTGGACTTTTGCTGTAGTGCCTATTGTGGTGAAACAAGGTTACCATTATCCAATCAACAATCTGTGAGTGAGTTAGAGAAAAAAAAGAGGAGTCTCCCTTCCTCAAAACACTTCAGGTATATCTTTTGGGAAACGTTACACTATTCTTATTTTCTATGAGCACAAAATTATATTGTCTTCTTAAGAAAACAGTGCTCCAATGAGTATACTGATCTACTTTTGTATACAGTGTATCAACAGTCCTAAATGGGATTTCCCTGCTAAAACCTTATACTGTCATGGCCCCCACTCTGTCCTATCAGTCTTGGAGCTATAAGGATATAAGCCAAAGCTGTGCCAGGAGCTTCCACATAAACTGAGAGAGATTTGAACCCTACAATAAGAGATATAAGAGAGGGAAGAAGGAAAGAAGAAATTGGGCTGGGGGTAGAGAGAGATAGGAATCTGATAAAAAAACATCTGAACTCTTGGATCCAGGCACGCCTGGAAGATTGCCTCTGGATTTTTTTTAAATTTTACAGTATTTTCTTTCTGTTGTTTGATGCCAAAAGGATCTTCTTCTAATTCATCTGTTCTAAAATACTGGCTCAAAAAGGGTGGAAGAGGTGAAAGGGATATCTTAAGGTACCATCAGCTAATCTGGAAAGGGAAAGAGAAGCAAAGCAATAGAAAGGCATACTTGGGAACACAAGTACTATGATCCTAGAATTTAGACATTAGTGCCTCAGGCTATATCTCACAGAGACTATATCCTTATTCAGTTTTTAATTTAAGGCTATTTATTAAGAACTTGGTGACAAAAATATTTGTAAAGTTGGGTAACAAGTAATGTCACTTGATTTTTCACCTGCCCATGTCCCAGTCTACATTTTACTCTTCCATCTCCATTACACATCTTGTGATTGCTCAATAAATATTTCTTGGCTGACTATCGAATGTTGCCTTATTCTGTGTTCTCTCTTTGCTCTGCTCATTCTCCCCAAACACCTGGCAGCAATCATCATCTTCTTTTTATTGCAGTCATCTGTGCTCATATCTTATTTCCCTTGCCAAGTTGTAAGATCCTTGAGGGTAAGATCTGGTATTATTTATCTTTTTCTCCTGGACAATGTTTGGAGTGGTATTTTGTACCTAGGATGCATTCATGTACTGAATGAATCAGAGCTGGTTTTGCCATTCCCCTCTGCCTTTATTTGATAGTGACGGAAACATCAAGTGGGCAGAGCAGAAACAATATCAGATAAATGACTGCCCTCTTAGTCACAGTATGCAGTTTCTAGAACCTAAAGGATAATTTGTAGACTGTGGAATAATTTTGTTTTACAAAGATTGCCTAAGATTAAAATACCTTAAAGCTGTTAGTCAACTGTAAAAGTAGGCCTCAATTAATTCTTCCTGAGTCAAGTGATAATTCTTAGACTAGTAATGTGGGCCATTGTCACAGGTTGGTTGAGAAAGAGCAGAAGCCAGGCACTAGCACCACTTGAACTGAATGGAAAGCAATCTGTTACCAGAAAACTGGGTGAGTGATGCTGAGCTTGCAAAATCTATGTCAGTAGATCCACTACTTGTAAGTATATCCAGTACTTACAGTATCTAATTCATCTTTATATCTTTAGCTACAGAGCATAGGACCTGGAACCTGAACTAGAGACACAGTATTTGTGTTTTGTTTTGTTTTTTAGGTTAATTGAATCAAAAAATCTTTGTGTAAGACTGGTTAATCTAAAACTAGGCCAGTCATTCTTCTAGTGTCATATTTAACTAGAAGAGAATCTAGTTATAGGTGCAAAGATCATACATTATAAAGTGTGTTCACAGGCTTGGTTCTGTGTAGTCCTTAGTCTATCTTCACCCAGGGATTAGTAAAAATGTGTAATTCAAATTAAGGGCCCAGTTCTAATTTTATCTTTTTAGCATTGTGTTTTCTTAATCAGCTCAGTTTTATCTATTTCTTGGTCTCCTCTGCCCATCATATTTCTGCAGAAAATAATGTCTTCACTTCTAATTCCTTTTTTAAACTCAATTTTGTAATTTACAAAGCTGTGCTCCTTACCTGCTGCTACTCCTGCTACTGATGCTAAGATATTCTGGCTATTCTTCTATCCTTCATCTAAGCCTTCATCCATAGTTGTGTTTTTGTTTTTGTTGTTTTGTTTCTTTGTTTTTTAATACAATCTGACATTTGCACTACTGAGTGGAGGTCACTTTTTCATGTAGAGAGAGTTGAAAGCAAAAAAGAAAGTATATTGTTTCATTTGTTATACTTTCCTGTCATATTTATTTGTAGTAGGCATTTTGAGGATCTAACCCAGCATCTCTTTGTGAATCCCATCTTGTTAAAGAATTCTTATTTTTGTATACCTCCTAAATTGGAAGGAAAGGAAAGTCTGGCTTTTCCTTTGGTAACATTATCAGCCATTCTTTTGGAAAAGAACCCTTCTCAGCCTCTATGAGTTGAGATGGAACTGTCTATCCTAACGCCATACCTACTCAAACTAAGGTTTCTAGGGTTGGCAGAACTGAGCTCTCTCTTCCTCTGATGAGGCTAAAAAATTCAGGGATAAGTAAAAGACCTGAGATTTGATGTACTGACATTTAAAGAAGGCAGATCTTTTCCTCTTGACTTCTTATCTATGAAGACAGAACCTGGAGCTTCCCAGTTTTTCTTGCTTCATGAACACATTCTGTCTGAGAATAAACCAATCCACACAGGGAAGCCGATTAAAGATGTAGAGAAAAAGGCAGAAACATGAGGTCATCTGAAACCCTGGATTCAGCAGTGCCTGAAGCTGCCTTTGTTTTTTAACATTCCACTTTGTCACCCAATATACTCCATCCTTTGCTTGGGCTAGTAATTCATTTGAATTAG